GAGCCATTGCATGATATTAGACAAATGATAGGACTCTGCCACCTACCAGTGGTAGTAGAATTGGTCTCAAATCCTTTAAGCTTTTGAGTTTCCTTTCCTTTTTTTTTTTTTTTTTTTTTTTTTTGAGACAGAGTCTCACTCTGTTGCCTGGGCTAGAGGGCCGTGACATCAGCCGAGCTATCCCACAGCAACCTCAGACTCTTGGGCTCAAGCAATCCTTCTGCCTCAGCCTCCCGAGTAGCTGGGACTACAGGCATGCGCCACCATGCCCGGCTAATTTATATACATACACATTTTTTTTAGTTGGCCAATTAATTTCTATTTTATTTTTAGTAGAGATGGGGTCTCACTTTTGTTCAGGCTGGTCTTGCTGGTCTTGAACTCCTGAGCTCAGACGATCCACCCACCTCGGCCTCCCAGAGTGCTAGGATTACAGGCATTGAGCCACCATGTGGGGCTGGAGTTTCCTTTTCTCTGATGGCAATAATAAACACCGTATCACATTGTTGTTTGAAGAACTAAATAAGGTGATTAGTGTCAAAACAGTTTGTTAAATTGCAATGTTCTCTTCAAATATAAAATACAGGTTGGGTATTCTTTATCTGAACTGCTTGGCACCAGAACAGTTTCAGATTTTGGATTTTGGGATATTTGCATTATTTGGTTGAACATCCCAAATCGGAAAATCTGAAATCCAAATGTCCCAATGAGCATTTCCTTTAAACATTGTGTCAGTGCTCAAAAAGTCTCAGACTTTGGAGCATTTCAGATCTCAGCTTTTCATATTTGAGATGCTCAACCCATATTATCATGAACTTTTGATTATTCACTTATAGATAACTTTGTCGATAACATACCAGAAAATTTTCATCCAAGACTGACCTTTTATTACTTACTTAGTTTGCCTTTCTGCTATCTCCCTAACTGCCTAGGTGATGTATGATAAAGTTACCCAAATGTATTTTAATGGTCTTGTGGCCAGGAAAATAATTCTGTTAAAAATACTACCAGATTTCAATGAAAAAAAATGTGTTTATAAATTACTTAATATTTTATAACTATTTTAAGTCCCCCATAAGTGTCCTTTTATTTCTGTATTACAGAAATATAGATTATATTATTAGATTATACTCATTTGAAACCTTTACATTATAGGTAGAAAATGTGTTCTATGACTCACATTTTAAAAGAAAAGAAAATGTAAACATTAAAATTAGATTCAATTTCATAGTCTTAGTTATGGAATTAATAATTTTTGGTATGCAACAAATTTATTTCTCTGTAATTTGTGATGCAATTTGAAAAAGGTTGGCAATGCATACAGATACTCTCTGATCCATACCTTTTCTTACTAAAGAATACAATTCAAAAGTATTGCACATGGTACAGAAACAAAGAAAACTAATAACATCTTACTTTTCTTAACAATAACATGACTATATACAATATATTATATCTATTTAATGAGCTGTTAGGAAATAAAGGAAAAACTTACTAATCCTTTTTCCTATTTCTTTATTTCATACAGACTAAAATTCCCTGTAGTTTGAATTTGTCATCTACTCTAACCACAGGATATAGCTTATGACATTAAGTTTGACAAAGGACAACAGTGAAATCACTTTAAGGAAATATATAAACATATTTATAGAGGCTGAATGGACAATAAAAATAGTTTGGGGATTAAAAGTGAAGAGAGGAAAGGAGACAAACTAGTTTCAAAGAGATTTGGAAATTAACAATGACAGCTATAATGTCAGAATTCAGGATATTGGACCAGACTACAGTACAAGAGATCCTGAAGAAGACCTAGCAAAGTTGTCATCATATAATTTGTTTATTTATGATCTCATTACAGAGTGAAGGGAGGGAAGTAATTTAGGCCTGTGTTTTTAGAGCATTGTAGGCTATTTTATAGCAACAAGTTTTTCTTGCCAATATAGCCCACAAGACCATCCATATACTTTTTCCTCTCTTCCTTTTTTTCTCCAGTTTTATGTTTAATGGGTTGGAGATACAGATTGCTCATAAATTTTATTTTCTTCCCCACCCATTAAAATATTCAAAGACATTATGCAGATAATGCATTGAACATATGATTTTATATAGTAAATCCAGATGCTATTTCACTATTTTTTTCTCTTATGTTGAAAACATCAAGAAGCACAATTATGCATGGTTATTTGGATTATGTATTTACTTCAAGAGCATTCACTGAGTATTTATTATGTGCCAGGAATTGTGTGGTTGTGCAGGATATAGTGCTGTGCTTTCTTCTTGTATGCATGTAATTTGTTTATTCAGTGAAGAGAAAGTTCTAGAATCAGAATTAGGTGATAGGCAATGGCTGGCCAGTCCTAAATGTTGCTAAGCTTTTCAACAACAAATTATATTGTCTTGCCAGTTTTTGTTACGGGAGTATGATTTGTGTGCACTTGTTTCAGCTTATAGGACTGTTTTACTTCAGTCTTGAAAATATCAAATAAGTGATAAATGAGCTACAGCCAGTCATGACATGGGTAAGACCATAATAATTTTCTCCAAATCAGACCTGCCTAATAAATCTTAATTTTGAGTAACTGGCAAGTAACAAAGGCAAGCTTTACTTATGCTACAGCTTATGCCAATTTCTCTACAATTCAACCAGGAGGGAGAATTAAAATCAAAATTTTATCAAATGACAGTTGAAATAATATAGGTTAAAGCTCTTTGAAAAATGAAACTTTCCATTAAGTGTAGGATAATATTTACAAAATACAGCAGATACCTTATCAGTACTTTTTGTCACATATCCTGTCTTCCTCATTTAGTATTTGTTAAAGAAAGAAATATCACTCACAAAAATGTTAAAATATTTACCATAGAAAATAAGACTATGAGTTTTATTTTAAAGAAGACTAAAGTTCTATGAGTGTATATTTTATGTTTTAGGATGTAAATACCCCCATATGTAATTCTCAAAAGGATATATATATATATATATATATATATATATCACTAAATTGGTTCTGGAAATTTCTTAATAGGCTAGTAGTTGAAAAATGTCAACTTTACTATGTCTTTTCATCTCCGCCCTCAACCTTCCTTGTAATAGGCCTCAAGTCTACACTTTTGAGACTGTTGGATTCAGTAATTTTTAAGGTTCTTGGTTATGCTTCTTGTAGTTGTCAGACTAAACATGGGTTTATTAGTATTCTGGTCTAAGCATGAAGTATATCTCCTAGATAAAGCTTTTGACTGGCTTATAGTGAGTCATATTGTCCAGTAAACACTGTAGTTAATAAAGATTAATTGAGGATGATAATAAATTATGATAGTATAATAGAGTTGTAAAAAGAAATATTGTTAAAAATAATATTTGTAAATTAGTGACACGAAAGATCTAAAATTTGATAACCCCATTTGCAACTTTCCAAAACTATATATTAGTTTTTCCTTGTAAAGTGTGATATTGAGTTTTCAAAAAAGTCATGAGAGTGGCCAAGCATGGTGGCTCAACCTATAATCCCAGCATTTTGGGAGGTGAGGCAGAAGGATAGCTTGAGCCCAGGAATTCAAGACCAGCCTGGGTAATATGGCAAGACCTTTTCTCTACAAAAAAACATTTAAACATTAGCTATGCATGTTGCTGTACACTGGTAGTCCCAGCTACTCAGGAGGATCCTTTGAGCCCAGGAGTTCGAGGTTGCAGTGAGCTATGATTACGCCACGGCACTCCAGCCTGGATGGCAGAGTAAGACCCTGTGTCCAAAAGCAAAGTTGTTGGAGAGAAATAAGTACGGTTCTGACAATAATTAAAGACATGTGAGCTTAGATCAAAGCACAAAAAAATCTCACCCAAATGTGATGACCCCAAATGGTATATCTCTTTTGTTTTTGAAATTTTCTTTGAGTTTTAAATGTATTTATTGTGCATAATATCTCAGTTTGTCCCTTCCACTGAAATTGCCTTAGTTTTATATCATTTATAATTGGTGATTTTTAAATTTTGTGTGAACCCATTCTTCCCTGACATTTTCATTGGTCCCTTTCTCCCCTTAGGATGTAAGCAAATTGTCTCTGGTGAGACAAATGTTTATAAGATAAAGAAGATGTCACTTGATGGGTTTTGTGAATATGTTACAACTTCCCAGAATTTTCATTGACTTGTATTGATCAATACCTTAAAAATATAATAGAAGTACAGAAACCTAACATTTTTTACAAGTGTATGTTGACTCAGTTAAGAATTTCAGAAAAGGCCAGAACTATTGACCCATTATTTATATCAACCTTCTGATAATAGATTTTTCTGCAACACAGTGTTTTTCCATGATATATCAAATATTGATGTGTGGAAGGTAGTAAATTTCTTCAGTAAGGATTCTAAATTTATTTATTCAGGGTAACAGTATTCAAAGTTAATGTATAGTCTCTTGAGGTGCATTTCTCAGAAGACTGATAAGCTATGGCCTTAGGAAATGAGTTAGAAAAGAGTTAGGAAAATCTTAAGCCTTAGGAAATGAGTTGCAGTGTAGTTTCTTCTGAAGATCCATTCTTTGAGATGCATAAAAAAACTAGACTACTACATAAATAGTGGTACAAACTATAATAATTATAAGTGACACTAGCCAAACTATATGAAAGTTTTCTATGTATAATTGCTGACTTGTCTTTCAAATGTAAATATTGTTCTAATCATGAATATTGCATTTCCTATGTTTATAGTTTGGAATGGTATGTTTATTTAATCTTGCCTGATAATTTTTGATAATTGATAATTTTTGCCTTTTTTTCAAAGTTCGTATTGTATTTTAAAGCTTATAACATGATTTTTTAAAAATAACTGTCTTAGAGAAATGGGTTTTATAAAAGCATATAACATTCAGTAAAGCAAGTGTGAGTGAAATAAATTATTTACTTTCAGTTTGGAAGAGGTGAATAAAAAGTGCTTGGCCAATACCGTACCATTAATCTATTCTCTTTTCTCCTTTCTCTCTTTACTTCTCTCTCTCCAATAGAAGTGGAACAAAAAGGTAATTAAATACCTTTCATAAATTATATACTATTTATAGGCTAAGTTATTTAACAGTTTAACATTTAGCTACAATAATTTTGTTATTAATTCTTATCTATTTTATGAAAATTTATTTACTACTTCTGCTGCTCAACTTCACTTTAATCTGTATTACTGACCAGTGCCGATTTGATCCTTTCATCTTTAAAATAGTCTAATAGTGTAAAATTTTCAATAGTGCGTTTTATTTCTCTTTATTTTTCAGTAGTTAGAAATCCAGTAGATGGTGATGGATAGTGATTGCTTTCGATTTGTTTTTATTTCTATACTAGATAATTTTCTATAGCTCTGATGTGGTTTCCCCTATTGCATTAATTTTTAACTATTGAAGGGAAAGGGGAGACAGTTTTCTTAAGTACCCTAAAGTAAATTCCTTTAGTAATCAAGGGCTGATTATCAACTTTAACATAAAAGCTATAACATTTTAACAGCAATGGGTATGTATCCTTTATAATTATGGCAATCATATTATTTAATAAAAATCTTGAGAAATTCTTAATCACCAATATTTTTATTGATGATAAAATGATTTTGGCCATTTATCTTTGCTGTGAAAGATTTTGGTAGTCAGCTTTTCCCCAAAACTTTTCATTTCTTTAATACTTTTGGTATTTTAATAATGTACTTTTCTTTTCAATAATCTTCAATACCTGGCTGAGTTTCCTCTTTCTATTGGATCTACGCTTATAGTTAAAAAGCTGATCACTAATTCTGAAAGAGTAATCCTTTAATCATTAAAAAAAAATGGGTCGACATCCAAATTATTTGTGATTTCTTAATTTCTCTATCCAGTACACTTACAATCATTTCAAACATAACAGTGGATTGCATGATTATTTTTCAGTGTGTTTGCTTTGCAAATATATGAGGGCAGTGTTTCCCATAGCTGGTTCAGCAGAACACTGTACTCCAAAAGAGGCTCTATAAAAAGGGTTCCATGATTAAATTAGTTTATGAAATTTGCTCAGCCTCCCCACTTCCACCTTGGAGATTCACTAATGTACCTAAGCTATTAGAATCTCTGCCACAGTTACATTTAATATGATATTTCTTAAACACGTGTGACTAAGGATCCCTTTTTTTCTTTCTGGGTATCATCTAAGTTGAAACAGGTGCTTCAAGGACCATCCTTTGGGAAACATTGCTTTATAGCCCCTTCATTACAAAGGAATCAGCCAATCTGTCTTTCCACCACTCACCCAATATGCTACTGAATCATACTAAAATTAAAGTGAATCAAATGATTCCTGCCCATTTTCATTCTGAAGTATGAGCAGCAAAATATTATAGCAAGTAATCTTGTTTTTTAATGCTCTTCTCATGTAACAGTAAAAGGTACATGTTTTTAAGTTCCAACACTACTGTATTTAACAGGACATTTTAACTGATTAAAATCTAGACCTTTGGTTCTTTTCTGTAACCTTTCACCTTTTCTTCTTTCCTTATTCCTTCTTTCCTTTCTTTTTCTTCCTCTCTCTTTTTCCTTCCAGTATCCATCCATCACTCATTTTTAATTGTGTGGGTTGCATGCTCTGTGTGTGTTGTAGCAGCTTTGAGAGCTTTTTTTTGCTAGAAAATTCAGTGGCCTATAATACAGGGCTTTTAGTTTCCTTTATTTAAAAAAAAATTTATGATGAAATATCTATTTGTTAATGATAACTATTGAATAGCTAATTTCATCAGAGTGGAAACAGTATATTTTTATTTTCCAAAAATGTGTTCTTTAGTGAACTCATAAAAATATTGTATAAGAACTTTTGTATTTGTTACCTGTCTATGGAATACATAGATATATGTTACATCTGACACATATATCGAGAAATATTATAACACATGTTTCCAAAGGTAAAAAATCACAGGAAAGTATAGCTGCTCATTAAAAAAAGGCTAAATTATTTTGGTAAATGAAGTCAAAATGTTTTTGAAAAAAAAAGCCAGAATTAATTAATTAATACTTTGTGTTCTCAAAAGAATACAGCAGAATAAGTGGTGGTGGGTATCTCTTATTAGAGTTGCATTCCATTTGGTGAAAAACAAGAATATATGACAAAAATATTAATATAGTTATTATTTTAACTCTTTCCCTTCCAACAGTTTTCCTTTGTCCTGGACTACTAAAAGGAGTATACCAGAGTGAACATTTGTTTGAGTCGGACCACCAATCTGGGGCATGGTGCAAAGATCCTCTCCAGGCTTCGGACAAGATTTACTATATGCCCTGGACGCCCTACAGAACGGACACTCTGACCGAGTATTCGTCCAAGGATGACTTCATTGCTGGGAGGCCGACCACAACCTACAAGCTCCCGCACAGGGTGGATGGCACAGGGTTTGTGGTGTACGATGGAGCTTTGTTCTTCAACAAAGAACGCACCAGGAACATAGTGAAGTTTGATTTGCGGACTCGGATAAAGAGTGGGGAGGCCATCATAGCAAACGCTAATTACCACGACACCTCCCCTTACCGATGGGGAGGCAAATCTGACATAGACCTGGCAGTGGATGAGAATGGGCTGTGGGTAATCTATGCAACAGAGCAAAACAATGGCAAAATCGTCATTAGTCAGTTGAACCCTTACACTCTACGCATCGAAGGGACGTGGGACACCGCGTATGATAAAAGGTCTGCTTCCAATGCATTTATGATTTGTGGGATTCTGTACGTGGTCAAATCTGTATATGAGGATGATGACAATGAGGCCACTGGGAATAAGATTGACTACATTTACAATACAGACCAAAGCAAGGATAGTTTGGTGGATGTACCCTTTCCAAATTCATACCAGTACATTGCGGCTGTGGATTACAACCCCAGGGACAACCTACTTTACGTGTGGAATAACTATCACGTCGTGAAATATTCTTTGGACTTTGGACCTCTGGATAGTAGATCAGGTAAGTTGAACTTTTGATCGTTCTCTATGTGGAAATATTTAGCTTGTTCTCAATAAGTTTATTGTACATTTTGATTTGGCTTCCTTTGTGGTTCTTTCTTCTTGGCTGTGTACCTGAAAATTGTTCATTATCTTTGCATCTGAAAAGGGGTGCTGTTAATCACTTTCGTATCACTTTCATCTGTACAAAAGTCTAACTGCGAGCAACTCTCCTTTGCTCAGATCATCTCCAACCTTTAGCCCTTTGTGTTTGAAGGGCATTTGTCATTACCAGATGGTTAGTTCTCTGTATATTGAAGTGCATAAAACCTTTGCTAAAATAAGGATGCCATCCTATCTAATTAATCAGGAAATGCCTGCAGAAGTACTGTCTACTTGGGTCATGTCAAAGGGTTAACTTGATACTATGCTTCAGGAGTCCAGCACCAATGTACTGGTGCTCTCTGGTCTCACAAAGAACATCACATATGACCTTCCCACTGGGAATACAGTCAGTTTGAGTGTACCCACACCTGCGTGAACGTAACTCATATATAGGGAAAAAATGTTCGTAACTGATAAGTACAGAAAAAATAGATCTCAATTTTATAAGAAATGACAGTGCAAAACACAGTTTTGAGTAAGCTTGAGATATTTAATTTCAATTCTCTAAAAGCGTTCTTTTCCCCTCTAGAACATACTGTTTCCTTTTAATGTTATTTAAAGACAGTCATAAATAGCTTTGGTTTTTCTTAAATTTTTATTTATACAACTGAGCACATTTATCTTACTTTAAAAGTTAAATTTTGTAACTAGCCATAATAGTGTTCTCCAAGATAAAGTATAATGGAAAACTAAGATTTAGGTATCTGGATTTTGATAGTAATATAGCAATTCAAAAATTAAAGTGTTTTTATCATAGAGTTTACTTGTTAATATTTCGCTTTCCACATTATTTTCCATCATACTTTTACTACCCTGCCATTCTGCTCTCTAATATAGTTCATTATATGGACTATATAATATATATATGTATATATACACATATATATGCATGTCTTCCTACAGAACTAGAGTCTAAGTTTTTTATGGCAAATGGCCTTGCCTTACCCATCCTTTTATTATATTTTCATCTGACCATTATTTCTGTCTTCTCTGACTCCAGTGCAATACATTACATATATATAAGTAATACTTAACAACTCTCGTTGAATGAATGAATGGCTTTCTAATTCTTATTCAGATAGAATGACAAATTAGTGACATTTTCTCTAATCCCTGAGAGGCTTCAGTCAGAGTGACAGCACTCCTTTCTACCATCAGTAATGCAGATATTATGCTGAATTGGCTTTTATGGAAGGAAAAGCCTAAATATGCAATAGCAACAATAGCAATTTCTCCTTACTAAGTCCATAAAAAAATCTAGACCAACTGCATTATCTGGCCTCCTGCTGTACAGGTAAGATTTTTTTTGTTTTGTTTTGTGTTTTTTTAAACCCAATGCACTCTGCAATTTAAAATAAGAATAAATCATCTGAAGTATTCTAGGAAGGCAATTCTTTCAGAGCTGTGGAATTCTTAAGCTAAAATTTATATTTAGTTAGTGTAAACTCTTGTTTATGGATGGTTCCTTAGCCTTCTTTGACTTTAATTAGAAGAGGAAATAATTTCTAATTGCCTCAAAAGCAATAATAAATAATAACTCATGTTTTCTTGTTAATCAGTGAATAAGGGGCAATGACATTTCTAATTTTATTTATTTAAAAGATCATAAATTATTTTTATTTAAAAAAATTGGTTAGAGTTAATTAGCATTCTAGGTTTTGATTTGATAAACTAAAGCAAATTCTTAACTCAGTTTTTATAAATTATGTTTAAAAAGTAAAATGGTACCATAATTCTGTATATTTTAGGACTTGCCAAAAAAACTTAACACATCAACTTATGAATATGTATATATTAATATATAGATGGAGAGAGATAAAGAGAAAATCATTGTAATTGTGGACATATGGAAACATATACTCATTTAATTTTATTTGTTTGTTTGTTTGTTTATGGGAGTTAATAAGGGCCATTGAGAAGTGATAAATTTCAGCTTTTATAACCAATTCCTAATTTAAGCCCGGGGATTCAGTTTTCATTCTTTTTGAGCATTTAACAAGACTTAATCTGTTTTACAAATAGTGAGAGATTTCACCTGCATTAAATTTGTCAATATAGTCACAAAAATGTAACAGTTTTCATGCATGAATGCTTGAATTAAAAAACTGGTACTTTAGTACGGCCTAATTGCAGTTTAGAGGTGTAAAGAATAAGTATAGAAGTAAATTTTATGTATGGTATGTGTGAATAGGAGAATTTCAATTAGACTTAATAGAGGCTATTCATCTTACTCCACACATTTTCAACTGGGTGTTTTTCTTCAGTAAATCTCATTGACATTTTTCAAAGAAATTGTTTTTGGTGAATTCTTGTTGCCATTTTATTATGGTTCTTCTTATGTGTCTATGTACAAAAACCCTCAACTGATTAGAAATATTCTTAGGTTCACAAACTAATCCTAAATCAGTAGACTTGAAGTGTATTTGCTGTTGCCATCTGTTGGTAACAGGCTGTCTTTTTGCTCTGATTTTAACTATAAATATATTCTAATCAATGGAAATTCATACTTTTGAAGGTTCTATATAAAGGGATGTCTGTGTTTCACTTCTGCTGTATATAACTCATCTGCACATCACAGATCTGGTATTGGAAGGTAAAAAGCAAATATCCTTCTCTTGGATATATAAAAATCCTCTGGTGATGCATACACGCAGGTAGCAGACTGTTATGACCATGAGAATTTGGGAGTCTGAGGACCTGGGTTTGAATTCTACCTCTCTCTTGTTTGAATGTGGGCAGTTTGCTCAGCCTTCATTTCATCAACTATAAAATGGACAAACCACCTACCTTGGAAGATTATTGTTAGCTTTTAATGAGCTAATATGAAATAGGCAAAATAAAGTAAATATGCACCAACTCTACAAGGACCATTATTGTCCACATTTTCTAAATGAAACACCTAAAGCATTATAGCTCAAATAGCATTCAAAACTTCCCCAGGTATTAGTGCCAGGCACTCTCTAGATATAAACATAATTCAGATTTTCTACTACCAGTTAATTACCATGGATTTGTACCCTACAAATTGTATCTGTTCTTCAACCATGAAATGTTTTGTTGTTTTGCTTTTACAAGGGTCATTTTGAAAGTCTGGAATAGTAAACCCTGAGGAAGAATATGAAGAAAAGCTTAGCTCCTCAGTAGTATTCTAAAAGTGGTTTCAGAAGTTATTTAATTCCAGTTCCTTATTTTTCCTAACATCCATCCCCAAACTGTTAATTGTCACATTTTATGAAGTTTCTGTCTTTTGTTGGGCTGCAATTACATGACATGTAAGTTTGCTTTTTTTCCCCCAAAGGAAAACATCTTGGGAGCTGGTACAACCTGTGAAATATTGTTTTCAACAATATCTTTATAAAGAAATTAATTTCAATTGTTTTTTTAAAACTCATACTTAAGGCTGGGTGCATTGGCTCATGCCTATAGTCCCAGCTACTCAGGAGGCTGAGGCAGGAGGATCATTTTAATTCAGGAGATCGAGGCTGCAGTGAGTTATGATATGAAGCCACTATACTTTGGTCCCAGCAACTAAAAAAAAAAAAAACAAAACAAAAAAAACCTCCTTGTATTTAAAATGTTCATTACAGACTTTATGTAAAGTTTCCCCTTGAAAAGTTCATTAATGAGCCTGTTCTTCTGGGCAAAGTTTAAAAGATTAAAATTCGGTTCCTATGTTTCTCTAAAAGCATTATTTTCAGAAACCTATCCTGTCCTCATTTATTCTGCATGATATTAAATGTAAAATTGCCAGCATTGTTGTGGCTTTTCAGCATGAAATTAGTGGAAAAATAATTCAGAATTTATTTTGATACTGCTATCTTGCACCAAGAAACAATTATATTAATACTTGCAAATAGTTTCTTAGAAACAAATTTTAATAATTATAATTAATTATATGTGAAGTATATATATTTCACACCTTACGGACTATGCAAATGCAAAGAATCTACAATTTATAAAAGCTTTTGGGGGGAATTAGACTTTGATTCACATTAAAATAATCTTGTTGATATTATTGTAGTCTGGGAAGCTGAAGCGGGAGGATCACTTGGGGTCAGAAGTATAAGACCAACCCTGAGCAAGAGCAAGACGCCCATTTCTATTAAAAATAGAAAAAATTAGGTGTGATGGTGCTTGCCTATAGTCTCAGCTATTTGGGAGGCTGAGGCAGGAGGATCACTTGAGCCCAGGAGTTTGAGGTTGCTGTGAGGTAGGCTTGAGCCACAACACTCTAGCCCAGACAACACAGACAGACTCTGTCTCAAAAAAAAAATAGAATAAAAAATTTTTATCTAAAGAACAAATGACTCAGCTTTGGACACCTGTATCAAAAATGTTTGTAAGCATTAGCCCTTGAGTATAAAGGACATATCAAAGTGCTTCCTGCATTTTTTCTGGTCAGAGCACCAGATCTAGAGCTAACAAATATAGAATTGTCTTCAAATATACTTTTATTTGTTTGTTTTTGGAGACAGAGTCTCATTCTGTTGTCCAGGTTAGAGTGCTGTGGCATCAGCCTAGCTCACAGCAACCTCAAACTTCTGGGCTCAAGCGATCCTCCTGCCTCAGCCTCCCGAGTAGCTGGGACTACAGGCATGTGCCACCATGCCCGGCTAATTTTTTCTATATATTTTTAGTTGGCCAATTAATTTCTTTCTATTTTTAGTAGAGACAGGGTCTTGCTCAGGCTGGTCTCAAACTCCTGACCTTGAGCGATCCTCCCACCTCAGCCTCCCAGAGTGCTAGGACTACAGGCGTGAGACACCACGCCCAGCCTCTAATATACTTTTTACTGAGCTATTTACCATCGTATAAAATCCAATAGGAATTGTATGTTTATTATTGCCATCAATTGAT